GGTGAAATTTTTGTAAGGATCTCAATCATTACTCTTATAATTAATTGAAAAATGTTTGGGAGCACTAATTAGTGCTCCCACTAATTAGGTGGCAGTGGGTCTCGCCATTAATGATGTGATGTTTTGGTCTTGGAGTTGTGTTTTTTTTTTTTTTTTTATACTTTTTGAATGCATTAGTGCTATTAGTGGTGATGTTTTTAGTGGGATGAATCATTGTTGTAATTAATTACATAAAAAAGGAGAACAGTTGTTTTACAAATATAGAAGAATTACATTAACTTACATAATGTGAACAATTTTGGTAGTGTTATGAAGTATTCTCTCTTTATGCTGCCAAGCGAAGAGTTTTGGTAATATCTTGAAACTTTCTCTCCGCTATCAAGTGTCCATTTTTTTTGTTTAAAAAATAAGTAAATAGATAGAAATGGAGGGAGTGAGTCTCAAACTTTAGACTTGGGTTTTAATAAAGAAGACTTTTATCACTTGATTAACATATAATATATAGTAAATATCTTGTTCAATTTATATTTAATTATACACATGTATTTAATTATATCACATATGTCAACCGCTATAATATTATAAAATGAACACCTCTGATAGTATTATGAAGTTTCTCTCTCATTCAAAAAAAAAAAAAAAAACAAAAAACAAATGAGGGGTGTGAGACTCAAATATCAAATATTTTATTTGCTACAAAGACTCTTACTATTTGAGGACACACAATATACGACAATAATTTAATTTATTTTTATTTATTTAAATTTTATATCTACCGTGCTTACCAACTGTTAATATATCATCATGAGAAAAAGTAAATTACTATACAATAAACAATTCTTATACAGAAAGAGAAATAATCAATCATTTTTTTATATTAAAAAAAAAACTATTTATACCCTGACATGATAGATTGAACAAAAATCCTATGAACTCACCTTTATTAGTTCATAATTTATTCAAAATATGTTTGTATGGTAAAAATTACATTGATGAAGTATAGAGTCTATGAGTAAAATAAATTTGAATTATTGATTCTTTTTTAGGGTAAATTTTAGGTTCATAAGTTTGGATTTGTAGTGTTGCTATAGATTGAAATAAGGTAAATTATAAATACACCTCTTGAGATTTATTTAAAATATAAATTATTCTTTATGATTTGAATTATAAATATCCCCTTGTCAGGATTTATTATTTAACAGAATTAACTAAAAGATGAAAAATAAAATAAAATTCTTTACTGCTCTCCTATACAATGATAAAATCACCTAATTATTTATTAAGGTAAATTTTGAACATCATTAAAAACTGTTAATTAATTTAGTAATTTATTAATAAGATATGTCCTTTGTTGTGAAATTAAAAATTTCAAAGGTTGTGATCTAATTTTTAAAACTACATAAATTAAATTATATTTTAAATAAATCTCAAAAGGTGTATTTATGTAATTTACCCTTCGTTTGGCTAACTTAGTTGGGCTAAAAAAGTACAAAAGATAAAATAGGCTAAATAAACTAATAAGATAAAATGTCATATCCAAACTATAATCATTTCACTATTTTAACAAACATTTTAGTCCTAAGCTAAAAAAATCTTAACTTAAAAAAACCTACCAAAGTCAATGCCAAACCGCGACTAAGCTACTTCAGTTGATTCGCTGTACCATTTGATTACCAAACAATTATTATTATTAATTTTTTTTTTCAATAATGCTATGTATACATAGAGGATCAAACACAGAATTAAACATAGAAACTATTCCATTAGATGACCGGAAGACACCATGACAGTCGCAGTCGACAAGCTCTGGCTAATCATCCAGCCGGACAACTGGATGCACAGTTTCTGTGTTCAGATCTATGTTCAATCATCTGTGCGCCTAGACTTTTTTTTGTTTTTGTTTTTTTCATCTTATATTCTTTTTTGGATAAATTATATTTGTTTTCCTTATATTTTTGCTTGTGTCATTTTGATATTTGTAATTTCAATTAACTTTATGATATTGAATTTTTTTTATTATCTCAATTTGGTCTAATTAATTATAATTATTAATATTTTTTTATGAAAAATATACACATAAGCATCATATGTTATGCTTTTATGAGCAAAATTATAAACTTGTTCAATTTTGTAAGTTAATTTCAACTAACTTAGTGATCATATTTATTTTAATTGGGCTAAATTAATACAAAATTTAAAATTGAGAGTCATAATTAAATTAATTGAAATTACAGAAATTAAATTGACATAAAATTAAAATACAAGGGCGATTAATGTAATTTATTTTTTTATTTATATAAATTTTGTTTCACTTGGAATGGGAATTGGAATTCTTGATCAACTTTCTCAATTTGATTCTTCTATATGCTATGTTATAAAGTCGTATACGACAACGGTGACCTTGAAGCCAAGTGATGCCCAATTGATAATTTTTAGTTAAAAAGGGCTTCTAGTAATAAGTCCTACCAAGAAAAATTATTAGGTACTGGTATGGTATCATGTGATGGAATATTTCTTACTAATTATAAATTATTATAATTTTATATTATCTCAAATTAATAGATATTATTATCTAACAAGTCATAATCAAAGAAGATATTCCATGTGTATGAGTCATGTTTAGTGTAATTTATTGTAAGTTAAAAAATAATAATTCGAAAGTAAAAATTAAAAGCATTCTAACTCTCGACTTAGATAATCAACTTTTTAAAACTTATTTAATTATTTTTGTTTAATATTTTGTTGGTTTGATATTTTTTGGTAACAAAAACATGCTTAATGAAATTGGTTGGCAACAAAGACAAAATAAGAAAATAATAATAATAATAAATAAATAAATAGAAAGCATTATAAAGCAGCAATGATAATAATAATATAAATCGAGTTTGCTCTTTGCTTGTAGCTTAAATAAGAGGATAAATTACACATCAGAGACTTTTTGATAAAATATTTACAGATTAGTGAAAAAATTTATAAATTTAATTATGAATATTTATAAATTTTACCATTGATTTGATTTTTTTTTTTTAAATATTTAAAATACACCGAGTTATAATTCTCTCTTTAAACAATTAAAATATACTTTGCTGACAAATTAAATTTGGCTCGTGCTTAGAATGTCTTCAATGATGTGCTATTTTCTATAATAAAATTTAAATTAGGCAACAAATTTTTTTTTTTTTTTTATAGGCAACAATTTTTTTTTTTTTTAATTCTTCTCCAATGGACCATAACATTTCTATGCCAAATTATACTAATATCAAATTTCGGAAAGAAAACCCCTCGCTATCATTTTCATGATGTGACCACAAATATATATATATATAGAAAAATGCTTGGGAGCACTAATTAGTGCTTCCACTAATTAGGTGGCAGTGGGTCCCGCCATTAATGATGTGATGTTTTGGTCTTAGAGTTGTATTTTTTTTTTTAACTTTTTTAATGCATTAGTGCTATTAGTGGTGGTATTTTTAGTGGGATGAATCATTGTTGATATATATATGTAGTAACATTATAGCATGTTAAAATTTGATTTTAAGACTATTATGATTGTTTTGATCAGTTGAATATTTTGTTTTTATTTTACGACGTTGTTTTTTCATTTTATTTTATTTCTAATGGGTTGAGTTTCTCTTCAGTTCAAATATTGTTCGAGTTTGTAGGGTTCATCACATTTCTCGCTTTGATAATTTAAATTATTTATTTTGTTTATGTATATCATCTATGAAAAATTATTTTGATCCAATAATCGTAGCTTTTTTATTCTATCCGTTTGTCTCAAAAAAATGGACATATTTTTTGAAGATAAAAGTGATAAAATGAAAATATTCGATTATGAATCTAATTTTTTTTCATAAATGATATATATAGAAGGTCTGATAAAATAAAATATTTGAATTATCAAAATAAGATATGTGACAGGTCCCAAACAATACCCCCAAGTTCAGATTATGAATTAGAGTGAAATTCAACCATTTTGTAATTACAAAAACACAGTATCACATTATACAATTATGAAAATTGAATTCTACAAGGATTATGCCAAATATATTATATTTATACCATTAAAATAAAATTGGCAAATTACACTTTATCCCTATTATTTTTGAGTATTTTTTTATTTTGATCTTTGAAATTTTATTTTTCTCACTTTTGCCTTTAATATTTCAATTTTTTTTTCAATTTACTTCTATTCAAAATTAGACCAAAAAAATATCATGTTAGCTTCCACATAATATAAAAAAAATATATATTATTATATTAATATTTGAGTTTGTGTCAGAAGTGTTATAAAATAAAATATTTTTACATTACGTGGTTATTAATATATCATTTTCTACATAATTTTAGACATGAGTTAGCTTTTGAAGTAAATTAAGAAAAACTTAAAACATAAGGTTGATTTGAAAAGTTAGTTAAAAATTGACTTTAACTTTTTTTTGAAAAAACATGTAAAAAAATATAGAAATAATGTGAATTTAAATAAGTTAAAATCTTCTCAAAAGAACCCAAAAGACCAAACAAAAAATGAAAGTCAAAAAAACAAAAACTAAATATAAAAAAGCAAAAGTGTAACTTTGCACTAATTGTCAAAAAGAATACACTGTTACACTGTGGCAAATCAAAATTTGATTTTGGCAAGCAATGAATGGGTCTTGTCCATTACATTCACTCTCCAATAAGAAGAAGAAATCGGACCGGCAACTACTCCATTAGATGATCCTATTCACTCATAATATTAAGAAAAATGTTTGGGAGTACTAAAGGTGGAGCACTAGAGGGAGCACTAATGATATGATAGTAGGTCCCACCCATTTTCTATGCCTTGTTTTTATTTTATTTTTTTGTCATTCCCAATACATTAGTGTTATTAATGATGTATTTTTTAATGATCTAAATTATTGTAGTAATATTAATAACGTGTAAATATATATATATATATATATATATATAAAATATAATATAATATATGGGAATCAGTATTTGATTTTGATTCAGAATCAAATCGAACCAAACCGTGTACACCACCACGTATATAGGAAGTACAAAGAAAATGATGAGGGAGGAACTGACAATCTGGTGACATGGCAGGTAGTGCCAGCGCAGTGGCAGGCAATTTGGGGATTGGCAGAATCAGGAGCCCAGGTTGCATTCTGGGTGCAGGGATCAACACCACTGATATTCAACTTTGTTCCCAAATTCCAGTGACTAATTATCTTGTTTAGTGCTTCCACTGACCCAACAAACAAAACAAACATTCAAAACAATTCAATAACTTCTACTTAGCTAAAAATAAGCACAAGCACAATTGATGAGACAAGTCAAACAGAGACACACAAACGCACAAACCTTCATTGGGGTCAGTAACTTGCTGCGAAGCAACAATTTGAAGCATAGAAAGAAGCATCAAAGAAAAACCCAGTAATCCCATAGCTGATCAGGGGTTGTGGTGGTGGTTGAAGGTGGTTGTAGCCGGTGAGTGGTGGTTGCTGGTGGCCAGAGGTGGTGGTGGTAGACACACACATAAAAAATGAGAGACAAGAGGAGGCCGGCAACAGATTTAAGGAGATTCAACACAGATTCTAAACTTGAAAAACAACAGAGAGTAAAGACATGGGGATAAGGGGTTTTCTGACTGTTTTTGGTTAAGAATTCAATTTAAAATATTGATGTCTATTGATTAGATTTATCGTCTTGTTTTTAATAGTTTGTCAATCTATCATAAAGTCTTCTTTGACTGCATCCTCTTTAACTTATTATTATAACCGAATAGACTATACCAACTTGCATAGGCTATTTTTTAATTTTTTTTTACTGTTCCATTGTGCGCGCCAAAAGTCGTTGGTTTGGTGAAAGCAAACTAGTACGGCCCAGCCCAACCCAACCCAGAGGGAAATTTCAGTCAGGTTTGCAAATCCAAGCATAAAGAGGCTAATTTCAGTCCCAGTCAAAAAAGAAATATATATACTAGTTTACACATACCCGCGCAATTCATGAGTTATTATTATAATATATTTATATTTTATATTTTAATAATTTTTTTTAAAATTAAAATATTATTATATGAAATTGAATAGAATAAATCATTAAATATATAATAAAATTATGTGGTGTGATATATATATTTTTTGATTTATTATATACCCAATGATGTCGACTCTAATTCTATTATCATATCATTTTGAGTGAATTTATAAGTTTTTAACATTTTTTTCCAAATTTATGTAAAAAAAATTATGATGTGTAACTTTTCAAAACAGATAAATATAAAACAAATATTAAAATAATTCTTCTATCTAAAAAAAAACTAATAAGATAAGTCACTAAACTAATAAAGAAGCAGAAGAAAATACACATATATATATACAAATGACTAATTTTATTAATACATAAATCATACTCGCATAACAAATAATCAATTTTATTACTAAGTAAATCATTAAGTAAATTAACAATTTTTAATGATAAGAAAAATATTTTTCACTTAACCCTTTTGTTAATAAATAAATCATTAAGTCAATTAATAAATTTTAATAATAGGAGAAATATTTTTCAATGAACAATTTTGATAATTTATTATTGTATAGGAGAATAGTTTTTTTTCCTTAAGTATTGTGTTAAATTAAAATTTCTAACAAACGCTAATTGTAATTTTTAGTTTTATAGGACCGATTCATATTTTAAACAAATTTTATGAGTGTATTCATAATTTGTCAAAAAATAAATATTTATGTATAAAATATTTATGGTTCATAATTGACCAAGAATGTTTGTATAATTATAAAAAAACCTGTTGCATAATTGACTAAGAATGTTTGTGTAATTACGAAAAAACTTTCACTCAACATATAAGTCACCATTAGTAAATTATTCAAAATGAAATGTCAAAATCAAAAAGAAAAGACAAATCTCAAATAGTTAAGTGTCTCTCACATATATATATATATAGATATATTAAGAAAAATGTAATTTTTAATAAAAAGAGCATTGTAAAATTTAAAATCCTCACATTACTTTTTTAGATTTCTTATTTTTTAAATAATTAAAAAATCTTTTAGGGGCTAACTTTATTGAAAGATTTAAAAAAAATAATCTTAGTATGATTTGATTTACACATTTCAAAAGAAAAGTTAATTCATTATTTTAAAAATTTAAATTTAAAAATTTGAAAAGGAAAATCAATTAATCAATTTTAAAATTAAAATTTTTGTACCACTAAAACGTAGGAATCAATTTATATCTTCAATAGATTTTTCTCTTGATATTTAATAGTTTTATATATATCGACATTCTAATCCATAAATCAATATTATAGTAAAGAGACATTTTATTAAGACAGTGAAATCTCCAAAGTTCCATACAAAAATTTCAAATTTTAGTAATTAAATAAAAATAGGAAAAAAATTTATTAGTTGCTTTTCTATCTTAAAAAAAATCCATAACCAGTTAACCTATTTCACCAAAAGATTTTTATAAGATCATTGATTTGTGATCCATAGTTTTATTCCTTTTTTTAATATATTTTTAAACGGATAATTTTAATCCCTTAAACCCGCAAGTTATGCTTCTATAGCTTAAGGTAGGATTTTATATTTTTTTTTTGGTTAGACAATATAACAAAGGATTCAGAAATCTTTTTAAATATTGATGATATGTTTAGTTCATGATTTTGGATAAAAAATTTGAAAGAGAAAATAAAAAGGAATGTGAAATTATGTAAAATATAGTTATGTTTTATTCATATTTCACATATTATCTTATTTTTTTTATCTTTTTAAATTCTTACCTAAATTCATGAATCAAACATAACATTAAGTTGGGTACATTATTTCTTCAAATTTCTTTATATTGTTTTTTGAAAAATTTGAAATAATATTATTTATTAAAATTGGGTACTACAAACTCTTGTCACGCATGTCTCTCTATATAATAATGATTGAAATTTGTTTTAATTGCTATCTCAAAAATTAGTGATAGAGTGAAAGAAAATAAGTCTTAAAGTTTTCAAATAAATATTTTATATTAAAATTTATTCAAATGTAATTCTCTTAATATTTATAAATATTAGGATAAATTATGCAAATAGTCCATGTAGTTTACACGATGTGTTAATTTGGTCAATGTAGTTTTAATTTGCTCGATTTTGTCTCTTAATTTAACGGATTATGTCATTTTAGTCCAATAAATAACGGTTGTTAAGTTAATTTAACAGAAGGTCAAACAATGTGTTAATTTGGTCCTTATACTTTATACGATATGTCAATTTGGTCCCTGTAGTTTCAATTTTCTCAATTTTGATAGGGACTAAATTGATACATTGTAAAAAATACAGGGACCAAATTGACACATTGTTTGACTTTTCGTTAAATTAACTTAACAACCGTTATTTATTTTACTAAAATGATACAATCTGTTAAATTAAGGGGAAAAATCGAGCAAATTGAAATTACAGGGACCAAATTGACACATCGTGTAAATTACAGGGACTATTTGCATTATTTTTCCTAAATATTTTTTATTGATTGATAAAAAGCACCGTTAACATTAAGATTATTATTTTTTATGATATTAAATTATTAAATTATGATGTATTATAGATTTAAACCAAGAATTATTGAAAAAAATCGTCTCGAATCAAATTTTCTAGGCTCATTTTTAATATTTAATCGAATATTAGAACTCCCAAACTATCTCATACCAGTTACGAACCAATAAAGACAATTTTTAATGATTACGTGAATGTCACATTGGCATAAATATTAAGATTAAGGGGGAAAATCGACCAAATTGACACATCGTGTAAATTACAGGGACTATTTGCATTATTTTTCCTAAATATTTTTTATTGATTGATAAAAAGCACCGTTAACATTAAGATTATTATTTTTTATGATATTAAATTATTAAATTATGATGTATTATAGATTTAAACCAAGAATTGTTGAAAAAAATCGTCTGGAATCAAATTTTTTAGGCTCATTTTTAATATTTAATCGAATATTAGAACTCTCAAACTATCTCATACCAGTTACGAACCAATAAAGACAATTTTTAATGATTATGTGAATGTCACATTGGTATAAATATTAAGTCAACTAGCTTCTAACTCACTTCTAATGTTTAGTCGAATATTACAAGTCATTCCTAATCCATTTTCACAAAAGAGTTATGACATAAGAAAATTTACAATTTTGAGTAGACAAATTTTTAGGCTTCACAAAATAAGAAAAAAATTAGTATATTAACAAATGTAATTTATTACTATCATATGCTGAATTAAAATTACGAAATTTATAAAACAAAATGTATTTATATTTTATCGTAAATATATTTTTTGTAATTTTTTTTAATTTTATCAATTAAATTATGACATGCAATTTTTATTAAGAACTTACAATACAATTAATAACATCAGAATAAAAAGTATCTTTTTATGTGTAATTATGATAAAAATGAATAAAATTTAATTGATTATAAATTATTTTTACTACATATTTTAAATAAATTTTACATTATTATTTTAGTTTAAAAACTAATTTTTAATTACTTATTATACCATGCATAGTACGGATAATTTAACATATATATAAGGACGGAATCAAAAAAATTTCTCTTAAGAGACTAAGATATGAATAAATTTTTCCTTCTATATATCGATTGTTTTGTAGTGTTATATTTCAATTTCAGAATGGGAAATAACTAAGATTTGATACTAAAATAATACATAAACAAATATTTTGCGTGTAGTCTTAACATGGTCAGAACTGAAATCATAAGTTAATTGATTTTTTTTTGTATATACCAACTCAACTATCTATTAAAGTGAAAAACACTATATTTTTTTTGTGGGTTCAAATTTTAAATTTTTGCAATGGGTCTCATATGAATATGCCTCCCATTAGGTGATAAACAAAATGTGATAAAAGAAATATAATTATTGTATTATTGCTGTTAAATTATGCTTGCATAAAATAAATTAAAAAAATTGGAGGTCAATTTTTTTTTGGTGTTCCAATACTTTCACACATAGAAGCTTGTTTTATTAAGAAATATGAAGTTTTCAATGTTCGTGCATAAGGTAAGTAAGGATCATTTGTACTAACAAGAAAATTTTAGGTAAACATAACATATCATCACGATAAGGGGTCATGGCCGCTCACTGTCTCCTAATAATTCCCTCTCTGCACATATACGTACATATATGGAATACACTTATGAGTTGTGCAGAAATTATTTATTTATTATGATGTGATTGTAACTTGAGTGTTCATGAGAGAGTCCTTTCAAGTGTCAATGAGATGATAACTATCAATGGACAATATTGACCTACTCTAATAATTTAGGGCAATGGTTGATGATCACAAATTTTATGTTTTAAATGGTTTGAAAATATCAAAATGACGTCGTTTTGGGTATAAAATAACTCTAAAAATGTCAAAACGACATCATTTTGATATTTTCAGACCATTTAAACTACAGAATTTGTGACCACCAAACATTTTCCAATAATCTAATAAGTTACTATCTATTAGCATCTTATCATATGAGCCCCCCAAAAAAAAAAAAAAAAAAACTGTTTTGGGTTTATATTTATAAAAATTTTATAATAAGTTTACGTTTATAAAATTTTAAATATTTAAACTTAAAAAATATGAATA